CAAAGTCGCTGACAAGTTCGTGTTTCGCCAAGGGCCCGGACATGAGCAAGAGCGTCACGGCCTCGACCTACGTGCGCTGCCTTGGCTACGGCCTGGTGAGGCAGCTGGCCGACTTTGTGGATCCCCAGGAAGGGTGGAAGAGGTTGGCCGTGGATATAAGCGAGCCCTCTGGAGAAAGCAGATACAACCAAATGCATCTCAGGTCTGGTGTGGAAGGCACTGTGGCACAGCCTGGTTAACTTAGCTTAGCATATACGTCACAGCCCTCACCTTGCAACCTCTTGCCATCTGCCTGCCCATAAGTGCTCTTACAGCTGACCTTAGAGCACTGTTTCCTTAGGGAGCTCAAAACTGTGAGTCCTGAGCGTGCTATAGTTTAGTTTTCAGACAAGCTAGATAAAAGGCGAAGGACATTAATTAATGAGAGCCCTGGAAATAAATATTTGTAGTTAAGCACTGGCTAACTGGGCTTAACTGTGTAACTTTCTGTACCAGTGGTTTAAAACATTGATCTCACTGGGCACTTCTAGACATGAACAGCAAAGACAAGTAACTGGACCATAATCTTTGATCCACAGAAGACATCTTCCCCATTAAATAAATAAATAAACACCAAATCTCAGAAATGGAGGGAGCCTGAGGCCAGAAATCAGCATATTAAAATAAAATGCAATATTAACAACGTTTTGCTAACCTTTTGTTGCTTAAAGACTTTATTGGATCTTCAAGCTGTGTTAAAAGTTATGTGATTTGAACTGTCATCTTGGATTTACAGCCTTGTGATCTTACCATTACATTTTCATTTGCTTTCATTTTTTATATCATTTCCAGAATAATAATGATTCCATCAGAATAATAGATCTCAATTTCTTCCCAATTATTGTTCAAAATGAAGTGTGAAGGCCCAAAAGGAGAAAAATACAAGTTACTCATGTGCTGTCTTATAGATGAGAGGGCACAAGTGTTAGTCCTGTATGCAGATGTAGTGTGTCTAAAGAAACTGCTGAAACCTTATGGATTGTAGATGAAGCCAGATGTTGATGGATATCTTACCTGAGTTTAAACCTCTTTTGTTGTTGCTTTAGTATGTATTTTCAAATAGTCTGCATTTAAAATGTTTTAATGTAATCTTTTTCAGGAGATTTGAGGCACTTGTACAAATGGGAAAGAGCCCTACCTGTGAGTTACTCTATGACTGGGGAACAACAAACTGTACAGTTGGTGACCTTGTGGATCTGCTGATTAGGAATCAATTCCTGGCACCAGCACGACTTTTGCTTCCAGGTTAGTGCTACCCAGCTATGCTTTGTACAGTGTTTTCAGTTTTTGAAGTTGTTAAACAGCTTTGCAGTAGATTGAAAATCATAAAGAATTAGCTCCAAATGAGCGGCACAGTTGTATTTTACACTAGACATAATAAACTTAATAACAGTTTTAAATAAATTGTTTAGTGTTACAAATTTAAATAGAGTTCTATACACATAGGCAGAATAAAATATTTCCCAAAGATTATATGTTTCCTAAACTGAATAAATGTTTGCATTAATTATATCAAGAATCAAAAAAAACCCAACACTTTTTTAAAATTCCATTTTCAGAAGCTGTAAGGATGGCAGAAGAAGTTACATTACCTCCTTCTTCACAGAAAAACTTGCCTATCCATGAGAAGCAACTGCCTGAGAAACAAGTGCCTGTGCAGGAAAAGCAAGTGGCATCTGTAATGCCAGTTTTAGCTCCGAATACTGAGAAACAGCCTTCAGCTCCTTCTTACATAAGTCAAGAGAATAGCAGCTCCCAGTCTAATAACAGAGGTAGGTGCAGAGTATGGTGAAGTTGAAGTACAATCTCTTTTGCTGATATGGTGACAATTCCATGTGAAATTCATAGCAAGATATTAGGGCAACAAGTGTTTTGCTGAGACTGTGCCACCATGCATTGAGCATCTCTGTTTATGGTTGTGCTGTGTGACTCTGAACGTGGCCAGTGGCAACACAGATCAAAAAGTGAAGTGTGCTTTGCCATTAAGTAGGCTATTGTGATTAAATACTTTTGTATTAGTTTTGTATTAGTTAATTATTAGTTATTAACTAGTTAAGTTTAATCTTATTTTGTGCTGCACCCAATCCTGTTGCCTTCTTTCAATACTGATTTTGTGGACTGTTGTAGTATCACCTGCTTAAAGGTGGATCTTGCATATGAGGAGTGACCAAGAAGCCTAGAGGAAAGATAACTGAAGGGAGGTGCAACCTCCAGAACCTTCTAATACCATTACAAGCACAGAAGGAGAGAATAGAAATTGACCCTTTACTGCCTCCTCTGATACAGGAATTGGGCAATATCAAATTAAGGTTGCAGGTTTCAAGGGGGAGGGAAGGAAAGAAAGAAAAAAAAAAAAAAAAAAAAAAAAAAAGGAAAAAGAGGGGAGGTGGTCGGTGATTCTTCATGGAATTTATTTCATGCTAAAGGACATGATGTAAGCAACTCTGTGGTTGCTAAAAATCTATATGGGCTCATGAGGGAGGTGGGCAAGCTTTTGATAGTTCCTCCTCCATAGAGAAGCATCATTTTTAACTTAAAAGTACTTGGATCAAGCTGTTGGAGGGTAGGAAAACACTTTAGGTAAGTGTTTGGTCTATTCTTACCTTCCTAGAGCTCACATAATTCACCTGCTTTTCTTTTCCTCCGATACCTTCATGATGAATCTGGAAGGAGGGTTCCACTGTGTCACTATTTATTTGGTGATGAATTTTGGGATTAATAGAACTGAAACAGAGGGAGAATCTGTTTGATTGAGTTGTTCCAAATGATGAAATCATGCTTCTGTGCTAAATGGTAAAAATGTTTTTTAGATCTCCACAGTTTTAGGTTTCATGAGTTGGAAAGTGTTACAAATAATTTTGATGAACGGCCAGAATCAGCTGGAGGTAATAAACTGGGAGAAGGTGGCTTTGGAGTTGTGTTCAAAGGCTACATCAATGGCAGAAACGTGGCTGTCAAGAAACTTGCTGCTGTGAGTTGTCTTGGGTGTACTTTTTTTTTTTTGATGACTGCATGCCCTATAGTATAGAATTGCTTATCTGTGGACTTAGTGCCACACTTCAGGAAGTGTCACATTTTAACTTTAGCTAGGTTGAGAGCCTCTTGCCAGAGTCCCACCACCGAAAAAGTGTTACCTGCTCTGCATTGCTCCTTCCTGTGGCCTGCTCTACACCTCACCTCCAGTCAGGGCGTGTTAATTGGGAAGTGTCACTGGGGAGTTTTCTCCCCTGAAGTTTATTCCGATACACCTAGGTAGTGATTCACAGGCTGAATGTAAGTTATCATAGGATTTTAGTCTTCATAGTAGATGCTTTCTGTAAATGATTACTTTTTGTAACTATAAGTAAGAACAGTTAGATAAAACACTAAGCTAACGACTCTGCTGGTACTGGATCAGTTTGTCCAATAATGTCATATTCCAAGGAATTAAAAATAGTCTGCTGGTACTTTATTATTCTGTAAAAACTATGGTGAGCAGTTACGTAGCTGATATATTTAACTAATTGAAAGTAAGGTTTAGAAATCTTTTGGTGAACAAGCTTGCATTTTAGTGTGGATGTCAATATTAATGTCAGATCGTTTCTTTTTGCAGATGGTTGATGTTAGTGCTCAAGAGTTGAAAGAGCAATTTGATCAAGAAATAAAAATGATGGCAAAGTGAGTACAAATGTCATACAGTGTTAGGGGTTTCTCTGGGAACCTAATTTGGCAGATGTAGCATGTTTATTACTCTGATTCTTATTTGTGTCTCTGACACAGGTAACCGTTTTCATACTAAGTGAAAATGTTTCATATAAAGTGTGATTGTGTTTTGTTCATGCAAATGCACCTGTGCAAATACCTAGGTGGTAACTGTATGCACCAGGGCTGCAACTTGGAAATTGAGGATTAAATTCCACGTGCTGCTCTCTTCCTCAAATACTGGGAGTGTTGCACACATATCTGATGAGTAGTTTTGTTGCCATAGTTGTCGGCATGAGAATCTAGTGGAGCTGCTGGGCTTCTCCAGTGATGGGGCTCTGCCGTGCCTGGTTTACGAGTACATGCCCAATGGCTCGTTGCTGGACAGACTCGCTTGCCTGGTGAGTAAAATCCATGTTAGTTTCTGAGTAACTTGTTCTCTTGAGCTAAAGGTATTTATGTAATTGTCTGTGAAAGAGTGATCAGCTGTAGCAGCCATAAAATTCTGGTTAACTACTGTGTTCCGGGAGCAAGACCATTATGATAAAGCATTTTATATTCACATAAGATGTATTAATATTAATTTTCATATACAAATATTTTAGACCCAATGTTCCTTAATCAAAACAGGCTACCCGTATAGTATGAGTTATCAATTTGCTTTCTCTTCACTGCCCTTGTGATTACCAATTCTAACATGATGTTCAGAGTCTATGTTTCAGTTTCTGCAGGACCTAAACAAATGTTAAATACTGATTTTGCTATAGTATTTTGTGTAAATAAAATATTTTCTGCCTGTGTTTTGGTAGAGGCAACTGTCACCTGGCACAATACCAGTAGTAAGCCAGACTTAACCTAGTGAATGGGTGTCCATGTTAAAGGGATTCCAAAAACACTTGTGTTCTAATCAGGAGAAATATGTAAGGCTGTAACCTGATAAGCATTTTGGACTGGTGCTAGCTGTACACCATTTTTTGTACTGATCTTCTCTTGTACAGGAACAAGTAGAAGTTGCAGAGAGAGATCAATTAGGGAACTGATTAGGCTGAAAAATACTTAGAAACCTTTCAAGTGTTGCTGGAACAAGGAGCAGTGGGTGGGGAAAGGCCTGGAAATTGCTGCACTGAAGAAATGACTACAGCTGTGTAAGATTCAGGGTCTGTATCAGTTTATAGCTGATATTAAGTGGCCGCAAGCAGAATGAGAATAGATTCAGCAGTGTTGTAACTGATGAATCTGATGTAACTGATGAATAACTGTAACAGTGTTGTAACTTGACACTGTCCCTCACAGCATCCTCCTGGGCAAGCTCCAAAGGTGTGGGATAGATGAGTGGACAGGGAGGTGGATTAGGAATTGGCTCAGTGGCAGGGTGCAGAGAGTGGTTGTCAATGGTGCGGAGTCCAGCTGGAGGCCTGTACTTAGTGGTGTCCCCCAGGGGTCAGTTCTCGGTCCGGTCCTGTTCAACTTATTCATTAACGACCTGGATGAAGGGCTGGAGTGCTCCCTCAGCAAGTTTGCTGACGACACCAAACTGGGTGGAGTAGCTCATAGCCCTGAGGGCTGTGCTGCCATCCAGAGGGACCTGGACAGACTGGAGGACTGGGCGGCGAGAAACCTCATGAGGTTCAACAGGGGCAAGTGCAGGGTCCTGCACTTGGGGAGGAATAACCCTGGACACCAGTACAGATTAGGGGTGGACCTGCTGGAGAGCAGCCCCACAGAGAGGGACCTGGGTGTCATGGTGGACGACAAGTTGACCATGAGGCAGCAGTGTGCCCTGGTGGCCAAGAAGGCCAACGGGATCCTGGGGTGCATTAAGAAGAGCGTCTCCAGCAGGTCGAGGGAAGTGATCATTCCCCTCTACTCAGCCCTGGTGAGGCCACATCTGGAGTACTGCGTCCAGTTCTGGGCTCCCCAGGACAAGAGGGATGTGGAGCTGCTGGAGAGAGTCCAGCGCAGGGCTACCAGGATGATCAGAGGCCTGGAACATCTGCCCTATGAGCAAAGGCTGAGAGAGCTGGGCCTGTTCAGCCTGGAGAAGAGAAGGCTGAGGGGGGACCTGATCAGCGTGTATAAATACCTCAAGGGAGGCAGTGAGGAGGAGGGGGGCGGCCTCTTTTCAGTGGTGGCCAGTGACAGGACTAGAGGAAATGGCTTCAAACTGAAGCACCGGAAGTTCCACAGGAACTTAAGGAAGCATTTCTTCACTGTGAGGGTGACAAAGGACTGGAACAGGCTGCCCAGAGAGGTTGTGGAGTCTCCTTCTTTGGAGATCTTCCAAACCCGCTTGGATGCAGCCCTGTGCCCCGTGCTCTGGGTGACCCTGCGTGTGCAGGGGGGTTGGACTCGATGACCTCTGAGGTCCCTTCCAACCTTCGGCATTCTATGATTCCATGATGATCCTCCCCTGGCTTCTGTTTTCAGTATCATCTGTCTTGAGTATTACAGACAGTGGAGGTTTTTTGTTTACCTTGGTGTTTGTTTTGTTTTGTATTTTTCCTTCAAGATGAGTTTTTTTGTTCGCTTGTTTTTTCTTGAATTGCCGAAATCAGTTTTAGAGCTATCAATTGGCTCAGTAACCACAGTATTTTCTGATTTGAGGTCCAGAAGGTAAAAAAACGAGTGCTGAATGTCCTGGTTTGTATTTTCCACTAAGTTTCAGTTGATATGAAGGTATCTTTAATAGGTTTTTGAAAAGCAGGCAGCCATCTGCCTACATCTTTAATTGCCTCAAAGTCTGGCCTAATGTACTTTAATGTATATATTTTTATATGTATAGGTATTTAGTAGATTTTTCATGTTTGTATTTGCACTTCTCTCCCCTAATTAAAGGATGGCACTCCACCAATTCCTTGGAAAACAAGATGTAAAATTGCTCAAGGTACAGCAAATGGCATCAACTTTTTGCATGAAAATAATCATATTCACCGAGATGTTAAAAGGTAACAGCTGCTGACCGTCACTGCACATTTTTTCTTTCCCTGATAAAGTAATTTTAGAGAAGACACTGAAATAATGATTGTTTCAGCCAAGGACACAATCTGTTCTGTAAATGAAGCCTATCGTGCTAATCTTGCCTGTGCCCCAAGGACAGCATCAGTATGCAGTTATAAAGATAGTTATGAAGCTGTTGTGATCTCCCACTATCACATAGTTACTTGAGGACTGTGAGAACACCCAGGAATTTTTTGGAGCTGCTGCTTACAAAAAAGCCCCTTTAAGAGAACACAGTGGCTTTATAAATGGGGAATTTTTAAGTTAAAAAAACCTTTTAAAAAAAAATTGCTAGAACATTTCTTCTGAATGTCTACTTGATTTACTGTTACATATTACAAAGACATTAAACTGACTTATCATATTTATGAAGTTTAGGTCTTTTCAGGGTTAATGTATGTTCACATACTTGTTGCAATAGAAATTTTGGAGGGATATCAGAGCTCAGAACAAGAGTGTTTTGTGTGTGTCCTCTTCTCTGCCTCCTGGCAGCAGTTTGCATCTTTTTGAAATACCAAATCAGTCCAAAGGTTTAAAGAAGTTTTCAGATGCCATATTCCTTCTCTAGGTTAAGAACAAGTGTAAGTGGAAGGAATTTGATGTTATGGATCAGTATGTAAATACCTTTCTGGCTTCTAGCATTCCATTTATTACCTATATGGCTTAGGTTTTGTGACCTTCCAATGCATCAGGAAAGACCAGGTGATTTGTGCTTCAGGTCTCATGAAATGTGCTTGCTGCTTTGAGAGCTCCTGTTTCTTCTTCCTTCCCTGCTTAAGCCACTGGACAAGAGAGTGGAAGTGACATCGTCTCTTACCTAGCGCTCCTCTACCCTTCTAACTGCTGTGAGTTGATCATATTGCAGTATTGCTCTTTGCTTCCTCTTTTGCAGCCTCTTGCACTATGAGTGGTTGAATGAGTTTGTATGGTAGGTGCTATTCATAGTGCTGCCACTTGGGGAGAAAATGAAGAAATATCTGAGAAACTTTACTGCATTCTTCATTTATCTCTACACGTGACACGCAGAGACACTTGGTAACCCTGCTGGCACTAGGAACACTGATGTGGACATTAGAGACGTTTCATTTTCAGAAATGATCATCTTGGTATCTTCAGAATTCCCCATAACTTTTTGTTGTTTATGCACAGGAGATAGTTGATTTATTTTTGGAAGTCTAACAGTTGCAGTAAACTTCCTTCTGCTGTGCTCTCTGTGCTGTGTCCGAATGTGATCCCTCTTTGGGGCTTGTCTCTTCAAGTCGAAAAGCAAAGATTTCTGAAGCTGTGAATGTAGGGGCTGAGCTCGAAATATGAGACCAGTTGTTGGATGGTTCTTTAACAGAAGTTTGGCCTTCTGCAATGATCACATATTCAGGGCTTTTTTACAGCAGTCCTAACAGATCTTTTATAACTTACAGCTGTGATAATTTTGTTTAGAAGGTTTGGCAAACAGGAAAGAGAAGAGAGGAATAAAATCTGTAAGAAGCATTGTATGTTGTAGTTGAGTGTGTGATTTGCTTATGGTTCCAGTAAAAGGGTCCGAAAATGACAAAGATTACATAAATTGTCAGATGTTTTTAATATTGTTTCCAGTGCTTTGAGATAAAAGCAATAGAAGGATCTAGGTTGTAATTCATCACATTTCCATGTTTTAGATACGAACTTTCTTTTAGAATACTCAAATTCTTTAGCTTTTCTGTAGAAGCAGTAAAAAAAATGAGGATGAAGTAGAAGCACAGCAAGTTAATTATTCCAGCCTTAATATATATTCTTCTCCTCTTTCAAGTGAGGAATAGTTGACTTTGTGTAGGATAATAGTTATAAAACTGTCTTTTATTGGTCCTGGATAAACATTTAGATGGGGAAAAAATCTGTTGTGATGTAATACCAGTTTATCAAGATCAAGTATTATATATTATGCTGCTTAAAAGACTTAAAAATTTTTTTTTTTTTTTTTACATGCACAAGAAAAGCTGTGTGGGAATCTTGTCTCCCAGACAGACAGTATTGGATTTATACTTAGAGCAATTTGTTTTGAAATTGAGCAATTTTCAACAAAGTTTGCGCTTGTATTTCTTGTTGTGTGAATACTTATCTTAAATTTTGAGAAACTATCAAAGTAGCACTTTGCATTTGATTGCTGAAGAACTGTTTATGTGTTAGAAAGCCTAGTTACTGTCGTGTTTTGGAAAGCAACCGTTTTGTTTTCTTTCCTTCTCAGTGCAAATATCTTGCTAACTGATACTTACATGCCTAAAATTTCCGACTTTGGACTTGCAAGAGCATCTGTAACATTCACTCGAACTATCCTGACGGACAGAGTTGTTGGAACTGCAGCCTATATGGCCCCCGAGGCGCTGCGGGGAGAAATAACCCCCAAGTCGGATATCTTCAGTTTTGGAGTAGTAAGTAGCACGTGGGAAACGGTAGAAGACTTCATTCTGTAAACGATTGAAAATTCTGTAAATGAAAACTTGCAGTTGAACAAGGCACTCTGATCTATCATTTACTTTTTGCACACCTTCTTCCCCTCCCACAACATGCACTTCGAATAGTTTCTGTAAACCTTAAACCTTTTTGCTTTACTTTTAAGGCATTTGAAGATGTTGAATAAAGGTTGCTAAGATAAGCAACCATTCTGTTAAAATGTGAATTTGTGTATGAAAGACTAGAGCAAAACAACACGCCAGGTTTTAGTTAGGTGTAATTTGAAGTAATACACAACATTGTTTTCTTTTTGAACAGTGATAATGAAAATAAAGGTAGAAAGAACAGGAAAAAAAATCAGTCGTATAGAGGGTTCCCTTTCCCCCCCCCCCCCACCTCCAAATGCTACAGATGCTAAGAGTTACAGCATGCCTCTCTTCTGTTTCTCTTCTAGGTCCTACTAGAAATAATAACAGGTCTTCCACCAGTAGATGAAAACAGGGATCCGCAATTACTGGTATTTTCTTTTACCTGCACCCATGTCCCCAGTCTGACCCCACACAGATTCCTTTATATAGAATCATAGGCAGCCAGCAAGTTTTGAGACAATGCAGTATTTTAGAAGTCGGCAGAAATCTTCATTTCTTCACTGAGCCAACTGTTCATTCCTTAATGTTTATTTTAAAATCCCTCTTTCTGCAGATTTTTACAGTTCCCTACAAGCTAGATTTCTGTTGTTTATATTGTAATTTATATTATATATTATTATTATCTGTCTTTGTGGTTATTCTAATTCTAGAACTTCTCTTCAGTGCTTCCACTCTGCATCTCTTCAATATGATGACAAGACTACTTATGTTGATGTCTTGACTCCAACATTTCCTTATTGGCAGTATTCATTCCTGTTGGGAACCTGCCCTCTACACACATTTGTCTTTTTTTACAGGCAGCTTTTGTTCTTGGCATATTGTGTCCTGTAATCAGCTAGTAAATTATGTTGTTTCTCAGTATCCTGTCTCTTGAAGCTCAACTGCTTGCAATTTATAATAAAGGTTCTTTGTACTAATTCCAACTCATGGCCATATACTTGGTACTACTGTATTTCATTTCATTTCTGCTGTTCCAGTCGTAAAGTTTATCCTTGTAATATAATATTCTAGTTCTCCCTGGTACTGCCTCTCCCTGTGATGATATAAAGCTTTATTGTTGTATTCCTGTTTTATCCATATACCCTTAAAGTTTCTCTTCTCATAAGAACACTTTTAATAGTATTCATCTCGGTTTTCATGCTTCTTGTCATTCCTGTATCAGTTCCAGTCTTTTCCAACTTCACTAATAATGTGCAAATGCCTTGTATAGTAACCCTGGAGAGTTCTGGATGTGAGGTGATTGTCCCTTTTTTCTGTGTAAAGAGCTTTGTAAAGTCGACACAAAGTTACTCACACTTCAGCTTGCTTATGTGTGGGTTTTTTTTCTTTTCAATAAACATAAATACTTTATTGGGCACACTTCTTAAAAAGATGCAATGCTAAGAAACTGCTGAGCTGTTAACTGGATGAAAATGATGGCTCAGTGATGCAGTTTAAAGAATTGCTTTGCAATTTTGCATGAACTGAGAAATAACGATAATATATACAGTAAATCTGTATTTTCCATTTATAGTCTTGGAGGCTGTTTTCTGCAAATAATGTCGTTGAATTCTAATGCTGTTGCACAGAGAATGTCGTTCTCCATCTACAAGAATGGAGAAGAAAACAGCATCCCCAAGCAAGCTTGCAAAATGTTAGTATGGATTGTATGATCTTCAGGTGCTTACAATTTGAATTATCTTGCAGTTAGGTATCAAAGATGAAATTGAAGATGAGGAAACAACTATTGAGGCTTATGTTGATGAAAAGATGAGTGACTGGGATGCTGCTTCAGTTGACAAAATGTATTCAGTTGCCAGTCAGTGTCTGAATGAGAAGAAAAACAGGAGGCCAGACATTAAGGTGGTAGGTAGCCTTTCACCTTACACGGTTATCTTTAGCTGTTGATGTTTTGGTGACAGTATCAGTTACTTGTATTGTCATCTGTTCTGCTGCAGGTCCAGCAGCATCTGCAGGAGATGGCAACCTGACGTGTGTCTTCTGATGCTGTATTTTCAAATGGAGAGGAGACCTGTAGCAGATACAGCCTTCCATTGAGATTTAGTGTGATGGAATCGGCCTGTCCTGCATGTCACATGCGCTGTTGGCCTGTCCCCATTGGGCTGCTTTTATTAATTAGCACATCAGCTCTTCACATTTCCTTAGCCAGCAGCCCCTTAGCATGAGAAAACTAAGCTTTTTTTTGCATTACCCAGTTGCATTCCTGGTATGTCTTCTCCATGGCTCTTGAGAAGCATTTCTGTGTTAGAATCTCTTTGTCTCGAGATCTGCAAGTACCAAGCGTGTCTTCTGCAGACAGTAACAGTAGGAGGCTCAGTTTTGCTTCACATCACTTTCTCGTATAGATGAACTAGCCCACTTTACTGAAGTAAAAAACCTTTAATTGGTGTAAATGGCAAGGTCCTTTTCTGTGAGGAGACAGTAGTGGTACCCATTTAAAACAAATTTGTCCAAAATTTTAACTTGCAAATCCAAATGTATGTGAATGGACAGTATTTGTGAATGTGGCAACTGTCTGAATTCAGACTTTTAAAAATCTCTTTGCAGGATTTGCTTTTATTTGGATAAATGCTGCAAAACATATTTAGGTTGCTATTTTGTTTAGATGTTTTACAAGCAGAATGATTATGTTGCAATGCAAATACAAAGCTAGATACAGTTTTCTTTCCATGTATCCTATATGATGACAAACTATTTAATGTTGGTTCATAAACACTCTTGATTAGGGAGAAGACTCTTAATTACTTTTAACATTCCTTTTATGCTTCACTAGATTTCATAGAGTATAAGTACAGAGGATGTTATGTTACAGGGGCCACTATACTACTGTATAAAATGGTATAATATTGTTCAGACCAAATCTGCATTCTCCTTAGTCAAATAGTTAAGTGCTTATCTTAAATATACTTATTTCTGTAGCAGGATGGGAAGCTTTCTAAAAGAGAACGAGGTGAAAGCAGACTTAAAAGGAAATGAAAGTGAATAATAAGACTCCAATTTTCTTGCACTATATATGAGAATGCTGTTTTTGTAAATACAGATATTACTTTCATGTAAATCTCTTGCACCTCATGTATGTTTTTTCTTGACAATTTAGGAGTAGGAATATGGTCTTGTTTGAAACCCCTGATTATCAGAGAGCAAAAGAAACTGAGAAGTGAGACTTGATCTGACTGCATTCAGGGATGTATACATTTTTGTAAAAAATTAATATTTTATCAGCGTACTCTCCCTGGCTATTAACTCATTCTGAGTTGCCTTTTAAAATGATTGAATAACCTAAAAAGTCTCCATCTATACAACTTCAGTTTTATAGAGAACAGGTTTGGAAAAGCTGTAAACAGAAAGCCTGGCATCATTGCTGCTGATGTTTATTTCTAATAAAATAGTGTTTTAGTAAAGTTGGTTTGTCCTTAAAGAAATTTTGGTAAGCACTTGGAAGTTTTTCAAAAATCTCTCCTGCTTTCAGTCTCCCAAGGAATGAAAGTGTGAAAGGTACCTTGCCAAGTACCTTAGAACACATTTTTTGAAAGAACAGCCCAGGTTGCGAGAAGGTTGAGCATTTTTTCCCAGACCTTCACCTGGTAACCCTAGAGCTGCTGCCTGGGGCCAAGAGTTGTTGTTCATTTATTCCCTGCAGAAACATTAAGACAAGCTGCCATCCTGGGATGCAGCTTGCACCTGCAGCAGCCAGGGTGCTGCTGCACCTCTTTGTGGTAATTATACAGTAAAGATTTTCAGGACGCCAGTCAATAACTTCTTTCTAACTGTCGTTCACATTCCTTGTGTGTAAAGAGATAGTCCAGTTCTACAAAACTGGAGCTTAGAGAAAGGGGGGAGATCTGGGCTAAAGCTGCTCTCAGGGGTAGAGTTTAAGGCCTGCTAGGGTTGGTGTAGACGGTCCTGGTGGGGAAGGAGGGAGGAAGCCTCTCCTAGGTGAAAGAGCCCAACCTTTGGCATGTTGAGCATCCAGAAAGCAGCAATTTAGTCACAACAGGAACCATCAATGAAAAACAGAAAGTGAGGTACTGCCGCTTCAGCTGAGAATCTAGAAAGTAGCAGCAGGACAAAATCGTAAAGGTTTAAATAATAATAATAACTTGGTAAAATGTGATGTCCAGCCCCTCTCTCCTGCGACAGCGTCTTGCCCAGGGCGGCAGCTCTGGCGCTGGCCCCAGCAGCAGGTAGGAGCTCTGCCTCCCTGCAGCCAGAGATGTGAGGTCTTCTAAGCAGTGAATCTCTGCTGATTTCTGTCAGTCTGTCCAGTGGCTTTTTGAGCCCCCACACATGAATTAGTCACAGGATCCATATTGCTATAAATGTGGAGAATTGCCTCATCTTTATTCTTGAGCAGGCCAGCTGAGTTGTATTTAATAGTGCATTCACTGAGCGGCAGAAAGATGAGCTGCAGTTCTGTTCACACACAGGCTCGAGGCCGCATCCCGCCTCCTGCTGCCCTCGCCTAGGCAAGCAGCTCGCTTCCTGCATCGCGTTTTGCAGAAATGCGAAGAAGAGGCCAAACTACTCAAAGTTATTTTCATTGGGAAAGGACGAGAGAAAGACTACAAGGTTACCAAAGTATCATCCTTTGAGCAGTTCAATTACATTAACCCACACTGAGCACATCTCCCAGCAGAGAGAGAACTGAGTAGTTCTAACCACCTTCAGCGAACACGGACAGAAGCTCCGTGTTGAAGCAGTTTGTGTTTGAAAGGGAAAAGCAACACCCATGCATGGATTCTAGGGCAGAGTCCTCCGTAGAAAAAGCAGCTTTGTTGATTTTTCACCAGTATTGAAGCTGAGGAATTTTGTTCCTCGGCCTCTCTTCTCGCCCTACCATCTCTTTCTCAATATTGCTTTGTGATGCTGCAGGAGGTGTCACTCACTCACATGTAGTGATACAGGAGCTGCATCTTTGGAGCCTGAATGTAACAAAATCTAGACAACACCACACATGGAAGCTTTACTCTTTATTTATAAAGTAAATTACAAAATAGATAATGAAGTAACCTTTCATTTCATTTTAGTATCAGAAAGTGGCTTACATTCAATACATAAGGTACCATAATCAAAGATTTCCTTTAACAATGGATTCATCCAAGAAATAGAGCAATTTTTACCTTAGTCGGTTAGCCTCCACTAGGGTTTTTTCTTGTATTAAAAGATCCAATTTTCCCTACTTTAGTCCTTTGTAACTGCAGCATTTCAAAAATAATTACCTTATTGCTTGTGGCTTTCACTAATGACCCCCCCAGCGCTCAAGGTAGCTGCAAGGGGCCGCGCTGCTGCCGCACTTTGTGAAGACACCAACCCTCAGGCCGGCCACTCTCAGCCTTTAAAGGACCCGGAGCAGTTCACAGAACAACTTTTATTAATGCCCTCATTTAGTGCTGGCTCTGAAGGTCCATTAACAGCGAGCAGGTGGAGAGGAACGTGAGGCAGCTGAGCAGCCGTCAACGTGAGGCATCTTGCAAGAAGATGAGGTGCTTCTTATTGCTTTGTGGGGAGCAGCGCAGGGAGGCACCACCTCACGTGGGAGAGGAGGCTGGTGCAGCAGTGGTTCTTTTAGGGGAGACAGGAGGAGGAAATGTGCTCAGGACACTACTTGGGAGGGTGGTCAGGGGCAACTGTGAACAGACATTGGCAATATATTTGAATAATTTTGAATTTGAATAATTTGAATAATTTTGAAAATATTGCAAGATAAGGTATCTTCAAAGGTCCAGTTTAGGCTCAACTCATCAAAAACTGTTTATGGTCAAATAAGCCTTGAACAGAATTTAGAGGGAAAAAAATATAAATAAACGCACATATCTATAGCATGTCAAGCTGTTCATTTTCCAGAACATTTAGTATTAAAAACCTGACTTCTTTACTCAGTCTACTGGTTGCAAAAAACAAATGTAAAAGTGTCAGCCAGGGCAGGTGTGCACAGGGCCAGGAATACTGGATTCAAACAAGCTCCCTAGCAGTGATTTTTAACTGCTATGGTCGGCCATTAACCTTATCATAACCTTAATAACCTTTACTAACCTCAATAAATCAAAAAAAAAAAAAAGTGCCAAAATGATTCTGTCGTAAACTGAAAGTGCCCTTATCTGCAGTGTGGAGTGAGCTAACTATGTTTAAAAGACAGTGATATCTGCCTGACTGGTCATAGGTAGAACCCTATGGGGAGAGGCAGGAAAGGAGTGTGTCCCTGGTGGAATGTGGTGGGGTTGGACTAGATGCTCTCCAAGGGTCCCTTCCAACCTCAACCAGTCTGTGATGCCCTGGATATGGTACCACTGAGAACACGGAGATGCTCCAAGGGTAAAGAGCTGCTGAATGGGATTCACATAGTGTATAAGATAAAATAAAAACAGCCAAGATGTAAAATTTCTACTGCAGATGAAGAACAGAAAGCAGTGAAACCAAAAACTATACAGTCTTCACATTATACAGTGCAGTCTCCAAAGGGTTGATAACATGTCAGCATCTCCAAGTGAAATGACAGGAATTTTGCCAGGTACTCGTACTGTCAAGGTATTACGTCCCTAAGGAGCAGGTTAAAATACACCTTCCATCAGGTAAGAATAATGTGACGCACCTTCGTAATGCAAACAACCACAATTTATGATAATATTATGCAGTAAACCAAGACTTGCAATTCACATGGCTCTAGAAATCAAAAAGCACAAAACCCACATGCAGAACACCAAAAACCAAGTTCCCTCTGGGGAATATACTTTCTCCACTAGATACCTGCCTCTATAATTTTAAATATTTCAACTCATTCAGTATGTGATTTTCACATCTAATTCTTCTTTTGTCTATTTGTAAAATGCATCTATTTTCTTATTCCTATTAAACAGATTAAACTGTGTTTAATCAAATTCATACTCTTCTGATTTTAGTCTGTAGAGAAGAAGAAAAAAAAATCAAAAGGACAAAACAGTAGCCAGGTGCTGCCAGCTGTTTTTTCAAGACCTAGTTACCTAAATCTGAATCTTTTGATACAGATTTAAGTTACTATTAAAGTTCAAACATTCAGAAAATCATTTTTAGATCATCTTGAATGTATCAAATTCCATTAGATACTGTAAATGCAACAGAAAAGAATCTGAAATCAAGAATAACTCAGCATCATGGAGCAAGTTTTTTTTTTTTTTTAACCGAATTTAGTTTTAGATCCAAGTGTCCAGGTAATCAGCTTTTATAGAAACATTTAAGTATATTGCTTTGAAGCAGCTCCATAATCTATCAAGTTTCCTGACTCACGCACTTGTAATTACATTTTACTTGATAGTTTGGTACTTAACATAAAAGGCTTAGGAGTAGTATCAAAGTCTGGAAAAGCTGTAGTGGTTTAAATCAGATTTCCGTAAAAGACAATTCCACAAAATTGCTTCATTTGGAATGATCATGCCTTTATTTATTCATTTACTTATTTATTTTTAGCAAGGAAAGAAATGTCACCCATTCCTGACCATCTGCATCTTCTGCATCTTTTTTCTTTCTTTCTTTTTTTTTTTTAATAATAGATTTTTAAATCAACTTTTCTACTAAGAAAACCAAATCAAATAATGCATCACATCAAAATCAGAAGAAAGCCTTCTATTGTAGTGTCATCCATGAGAGCTATAAGGGAAAAATAAAGCCTTGCCTAGGACAACGCTGCAGTGCTCGTCACATAAGTCCCAGTGGTTTCAGCTAGACTCAGATGAACACAGCTCTGCTCCTAGACAAGCAATGAAACTACCCATGGAATAAAAAGGCTGTAATAGATTTCTGCCCATGAAGGTTACGATCATAGGTATAGCTATTAAATAATGGATTCTAATTTAAAGTAAAGTAATATCAGTTTAGTCTCTAGTACTGAAATATCCACCTCTTCCATACGTCATCAAACATGGTAAACAGAAAGTCTACGTGGTGCTGTCATGAGGAGGGGGAAGAGTAGAAAAAGTTTTTTCTCCTACCATCTACGGGATGATTTCAGTTCATTAACAAAAACCACAATTTTGTTTCTCGCCGTAGTATCTTACTGATAGTGCAAACAACAGCTTTTAATCAGAAGGTGTTTCAGTCTCTGCAGGACCTCTGATCAGTCTCCGAATTCCTCTTTTCCCAGCGGGACCTTTCGGTTTAGCAAAGCTCTGTTTGTGTGCGTGTTGTTTTGGATGAACCTCTTCATAAAGGAAGTCAGCAGTTAGCTCATCACCATTATCTATTTCAATCTGCCAAAAAGAAGCAGTTCATCATACTCATCTCAAAAGCACGTTTAATAACAGTTAGAAATGCTGGCTTGCTAAAGTTCTTAATGCTGTATTAAAACCAGCATGTGCAAGAAAGTTCAGAGTCTAGCATGAAGTGTTCCCCAACTTACTTGTGCCTAATCTCAATAGTCCTGGGCAGATTTTCCCGAGATCCCTCTCAGCCAGTATTGGGAAGTGTGATTTAACTTTACTGGTTCTCCCTGAAGCAGCGGCACAACTACACAGAAAATACACCGAGAAACCTCCCCAGCCTCCAGCTTTGGCACAGCACGCGTGGGTGCTAACGCTGGGAAGCAGCAACCCGTGTGGAAACAAGGGCTTCATTACTCCTTCCTTAGTATGAGCAAGGAAGCAGCATGTGGCCTTTCAGAACTGAGTTCATTCTCTTACTCTGCCCTCTGAAGGAAAAGCTTTTAATTGTCCCAATGGAGTAATCACATCCTAATAATTAAAAATTTTCATTTGAAAAGCGCTTTAAAATTTAAACTTGTAAAAAGCAACATTTATAATATACTGTTGTCTCCTGAAATTGGAGGGGAGGTGAGAAACAGCTTATGTGATTAGTGGACTAGCGCAGCTCAGCTTTAAAGAGCATTTATTCAAGCCAGGGAAAATGCTAAAGTCAATTTGATGTGTAAATACTGATGCTGTTGTTGTTATTTTTTTAAATGTAAAAATATAAACCTGAATGGAGAGAAGATACCATTCTCAAGCCAAACCCCACTGGGTTTAATTGTGGGGAGGTAGCACTGACAGAAATGCTTTGCCCCCGTCCTGCTGAGGATTTAGCACCTCGTGGTCCTGGAGGAGCCACCAGCTGCTCTATCTCTGCAACAGCAGGTGCTTCAGAAAAGTGTCTACCACCATCTTCAAGGGTCACAGGGCTCTCATGCTTAACTGTAAAAAGAAACTTTCTAAGAAATAATTAGGTGTAAAAATGGCTAATATTCATTCTATTACTTTAGGCAGATGTAATCCCCTTAGAAACCAAATCCGAAAGTCCTCCTAAATTAAGAGACACACAGTAGAGGCACAAGTATTAAGAACAGAACCAAAGGTCATATAGTGCATGAAGAGACTATTGCTATGGTCTGTTTGCTAGCAGTGATAAGACACTCTTTCTTCATGAGTAGCTGCACAATCTTTAGCGAGAAAAGATGAGCTTGCCCACAAATCGGAATTTGCCCTTGCCAATGACTGATAAGATAGCAATTAATATTTGAGAACTGCAGCCTAAAATACACTATTTTGAAAATCCTCAAGTAACTTTGTTCTTAAATTCAGGGTTCAGAAACAACAGTATGTTGTGGGCCACATTATATCTTACTAAAAGGCCTGTCAAACTGTTACTTGCGAGTATTCAAAATACTTCAAAATACTGTCAAACATTCCCTTGAGACTAAAGGACATATTTGCTAAATCTACCAAAAGGCAGAAATTATGAATCACAGAAAAACTATAATGTCTTAAGTTTAAATACACCTGTTTTATCCACAAGTGTTTCTTGTGGAGGACAGGCATTTATACATAATTTAGCAACTATTCAACATTTCTCTCCTTCAGAGAAAGCGGTGGCAGACACAGCTATGGTGAGGTATCAAGAAAGGGACAGAAGGATGGAGAAAATACCAGCACACTCACTTACTTTTCTAATTATCTGCATCCACAGCTGTCTCTCCACAATTTCTAACAGGGGGCTTTTGCAACTCGAGTACAGCATCCGCTCGCGTATACTACAGGTGTATCCTGGCATCGAGTAGATGAAAACTGCAGCGGAAAATACAGTCAGAACAAAACAGACCACATGTGAGAACCTTTATCATCAAATCCTTTGCAGCAGAGAGGCAGCAGAAACGCACTAGGCAGTCTGAAGGGGAAGGTTTAACATCATTCTGAATGTGTAATTTCAGATATGGGATCCATGAATGGCCAGTACCTTCTCCTGTGTGCACTGTTTCTGGATGTTTAATGTTCATTATCAAAAAGAGTATCTCTGTACTTTCTAAACACAAGGACTCTTCACAAGTCTCACTTTCACAACCAATGGCACTGAAGTTTATGGTGTCGCTTAAAGATCAGATTTCCAAAGCTAAACAGCTAACTCCACGTCAAGATGACTAAGCTGCTGCAAACAAGTCAATGAAATTTCACATAGGGAAGTATTCCACATACCTATGGATTCCAAATAGTCCCCTTCGTGGGTGTGCTTATAGAGGAAAAAGTGGTAACGCGCAGAATCCTTTGGAATTCTTTTTGGCAAGTCCTTAAGTTCAGTATGAAGGGTGTTGGCCAAAATAATAGTTTCATTTTTCATATCGATTTGCTGTTGTCAACAAAACAAACCCAAATATAGTTAATATGCAGAAAGCAAACCAGAGAACATGGCAGGAAAAAAAAATAACAACCCAATTCAGCATATCAGTATATGCCATATATGCTCATTATTTAATATGTAGGCAATCTGTTCAATCTTATTAAAAGAGTAAAACGGAAGTATTTTATACTTGCCAGTTGCACATAATTGAGCTGCTTGTTTCTCAATTTCTCCAGCGCCTGAAGAGCTTCTCCAGCAATGGGGAAGGCCACTCCCTGCAGCGTCTGATGCTTGGTGTCTATGCCAACATCCGTCTGCACCTGCAAGCAACACGGGGCACCTGAGGCCCGCCGGGGAGCCCGGCGAGCCCCCGCTTGGCGTCGTACAAGCGGCAGGCAAGGCGACGCGTGCGGCTGTACCCGGAGGCAGCAACAGCCGCACAGCGACAGCCGGCTGCCCTGAAACACCACCCCGGGACTCGCCGGAGCTGCATGAATTTACAGGCCCCACTTGCTGCCTACCTGGGAACAGCTTCCTCTCTCTGCCTGGGAAGTAAGCCAGGAGGAAACTGTTGGGTTTTCATATGCTAGGTTGTATTTATTAACTAATTTATTAGCTGCTTATAAGCTTTGCTTGTATCTCGAAAAAAATTTAGATCAAAATGCATGTCATTTTTAGTAATTAAAGATTCTGAAAGGTAGGAAGAGAATTGAACAAACCCACCCAACTGGAAGGAAAATAAAAGCAACTTCCCTCCCTCTGGCTTCAGGCCCTCTCCCACGAGTCCTATGCCAAGCAGAAGGCAAATCAAAAACAGAGATTTCTTTTGAATTTTTGACATAAAACAGAAATCCAGGCTAAGCACAAGTCAGACAATTGCTCACAATCTAGTTATGTTAATCATGTAAACCATTCAAGAGAAAAGGACTGTTTTCTTAAGGACACTTTCAAAAAACTTATAAATAAATAAAAATTAAAAAGTTATCACTGTCAATGCTCTAGTTTCCAGTTTTCTAGATTCTAACCAGTGAATCTACTGGCTACTTAGAAGCTTTGGAAAATACTGATTTCCTTTTTCAAATTCACAAGTACATTAAATCAGAGATGAAGCAGCAAAATGCTACAGACAGGAAAAAAAAACAGTAAAAATTGAAAGGATTAGTCTATCAACTGGAAGATTTTCAGATTAAATTAAAATTGCATGCTCATGAAGCATAAAACAGAATGATAGAAAAAGGAAAAGAAAAAGATCAAAATACATGAAGAAATACTAACTTATAGTGCAGCTTTTAAAAGAAGAGCTTTCCTGAGAAGCACTTGCTTTAATACTGAGAATAATCAATTTATTAACAAAACTGAATACAAACATTTACAAAATGTGCTCCTAATATATCTGCATAAAAGCCTGATTTAAAAAATATAGTAAGGGTCATAAAATTAAAATAATATATATATTACACATAAAAATAGGAAAAAAAACACCCCACAAATACCAGCTGTGAACTCTGCGGGGAGGTAGGGGAAGAGAGGAACTGTGCACTCCAAGTTTAGAGATATGTTCTATACGTAACAGTCTATATTGCAAATTATTTCAGACCATTAAAGCAAAATGAAACACTTAAGGTAGTTAAAAATTTAAGAACTCACATTGAGATTTGTTAGTGGTGACTGCTGAGTGGATAATGAAATGGCAGGTGAAATGCAATACACAGGAATGTACAGCAATTTCTCCTGCACACAGGAGAAAACCAGCCCCTATCCTACTCGCACGGTGTGGGACACTGAGACTGCCTGTTCCTGTTTATGAGGAAGATCACGGGCGTCACAGTAAGTAGCTCAACAAAAGTGCAGCCCAGTTGCCAGTGTCGGTTAAGACCAAAAACAAACCAAAGCAATAACCAAAAATACCCAAATGAAACATTATAGACCGTTAGAAGAGCAGAGAACAAGAACAGGACACATCACTACGCACTGCAGGTATCAGCAACATGCCCACATTTCGAGTACCACATGCAGTTCAGGCTTCCCCATCCCTCCAACTCAGAAATTAAATAGTAGAATTGGAAAAAAAACACAGAGAAAGGCAAAGGATCAAAAGTATGGAGTACCTTCTTTGAGAAGAACAACTAAGTAGATTAGGACTCTTCAGCCTGGAAGAGATAACTGAGAAGGAATACAAGAGAGATCCCATGGATATAATAGGAAAAAAAGATAAAAAAAGAAAAAAAAAGAAAAAAGAAAAGAAAAAAAGAGTGAGGAATTTCCCATACATGTGTAGGGTATTGCAGTAGCTATAGGACAGCAGGCAGTAGTTCCCTGTGGAACGCACTGGCATTGGATCTGTGCACAACAGAAACTTTGTGTGGATTTAGAAAAACAGCAAGAGGAGCACAGATGAAAAAGCCATCAAGAAAAATTAAGTACTAAGACCTTGCTCAGGAAGATCCCGGCCTGCCAACACGGAGAGAGAGGGAATTGTCACGGTTTTCTTGCCCTGCTCTTGCCCTTCCTAGGTTCCTGCTGCTGCCCACAGCCCTGACACAGGACCAGCAAGCCTTTTATCTGACTCACTAAAATATTTCTTAGGAAAAAAAAAAAAGAATTCTAATTTCCATGTGCATATTCTTCTCTCTCTCTCTTTTTTTTTTTTTTTTTTTGTTAGAAAGCTTTCTAGCTTTCGGAAACTAACCGAGGAAAGTTAATGAAATATGGTTTCAGCAAGTCTAACTATGGCCTTTACAGGGGTGGAAAAATAAATGAAGAGCTTAAGTTACCACACTTTGTGCGAGATGCTTCACACAAAGCCAAAATCTACAGCAATCTGCAGCTTCTCTCTCACAGAGCAGCACAGCTACTGCTGCCAAAGTTTCGTAATAACACAGGCTTTGGGCCTACGTGAATCAGCTCTTAAAATCCATGCACTGTATAAAATATTAATACTAGAAGTAAATGATCATTAACAGTACAAAAGTTTTAATTTCTTCATTTTTTTTTAAGTTTTTAAACTGTTCAAGTACAATATAAAATTTGATCATCAAATGCTACATTGTAAACATGAATGCATTTCTACATTGAGTCATTGAATGGATGGAAAATATCAAAAGGCACAAAGGCCAAAAATAAAGGTCAAGGAAGAAGCAAACCACAACAGAAATGCAGCATCAGCACGTTAGAAAGTGAAATTCTCTAGAGAAAAGACAAAGAGCTGCATTTAACAGGACGGCTTCCTGGCATCCAGCTGCAAAAACAAATCAGCTCTCAAACACACAGACAGTGCTGTAAAATAGGCCTAAAGAACTATTAGGCTCAACGTAAGAGCTATTTGAATACATGTATGAACAGAGTGATCAAGGGAGGAAACATCACAAGAAAAGAATCCTCTTTCATAAGGGACAATGAAACAGTTCAGTTACTGGGTAATGCACAATTCGGTTAAAGGTGTTTGTTAGAGATGTTTCATGAAGAGCTTGTGACAAAGCAATTAGTCTTGTAAAGGACTAGCTCTTTGTTTTAGTGAGGAATAAAAAAAGAGGAAAAAAAAAGAAGAAAGGCGTTTTAATTGGAATTCTATTCAACTTCTCGCAGTCATGAGGACAGTGAACTGGTCCTGGAAACTATGAAATTGCCCAACAAGGGTAAGGCTGCTGAGATACTCTTTAGGATTATTCACTGACATACTTGCTCTTTTGCATTCTCCCCACAGGTTTTGCTACCACGGGAAATTTTTCTGGGCAGTGAAGCACAACCAGTGATACCAAGCATGGTTAAGGACAAAGTTGCAACAGCTCAGCTCTTAACTGCTAGGCCTCCAACTCACATACTTGGCCTTGCAAACTCAGCATTCCTACCTCCACTTATCATCACCTTGGAATCTCAGCTCAGAGAGATAAAAACAATACACTCTCACCTACTCAAAACTTTCAGAAACATCTCATTTTCTCATCTGCTTTTTTTCCCCCCCCCCCCCAAATCTAGAAAGACACCTTTCTATAATATTAAAGAACTCCACAGGCAGTTCCCCCTCCACCCATGCTCTACGGCCACGTAGGTACCTCATTGATCTTAATTTGCCGAAGTTCCTCTTCTGCTGCAGTCAGAGGCGCAGGGGAAGACTGTGATATCAAGTATTTTTTATAGCCATGCAGTGAAACATCATCCTGAAAGCAGAGTGTAAGTATCAACTATTTTATAGTAATGTAAGTTTTCTTCAAAGATACTCCATGCAGAATAGAAAAGCATTTATGTACAGCGTTATTATATTCATTCTATTTGACGGATTACAGGCACAGGAGCAAATCAGTTTGGCTTCCTGAACAACAGGCTCCACTGGGCTGCTCCGATGCCCTTCTTACTCAATAGCAGGCAGCACATCCACACTGGCCTCTAATTGCCTTGCTAATTTAAAAATCAGACTTCATGTAGACTAAGGCATAAAGTTATTCAGTCGGCTTGAACAAAACATCAACCGAAGTGCCACATTTCTTATTTGAAAAATCTTCTTATAAAATAGGCATTTCCAGAGAGCTAAATGGGTAGCTGACTGGTAGTTTTCTACCTAGAAAACGGCAGCTGGGAATACTGCTTGCAGACAGATACCAAACACGTGCATGGAATACAGCAAACAGCTCGGGATGAAGATTCCCAGCAGCGATGGATTCTGACAGCCACCCTGGGGAATTAACGCTCAGCGCCAGCTCTGGCTCTCTGCAGAGATGCCCATACCAGAGGTGAATGCTGCTCTGCTTTTATAAATAAGGTGTCTCTCGTAAAGGGCAGGACTTTATACTAGCAGGCAAAGAGGGGTTTCTACTCCACCCCTGAGAAACTGAAAGCTCCTTTTTTGCTTTTCTCTTTCTGGAGGAGGCAGATCATTCCCAGGGCCAATATTCCAGTATGTCTCGCTTCCAGAACTCAGAGGTAACAGACGGTTGATCTATGTGAAGCAACACATGGGATCACAGCCCAGTTCCATCACGATACCAGAACTGGTTGTACCTAAACCATCCTTGCTCTAGCAGAAGGTAAGGACAAAAAAAGCACATGGGTAGACCACTGGATACTGATGATCAAGATTTGTGACTCCAGTGCTTTGAAGAAGCTGTGATCTTCACTAGGGCGAACACTAGAGGCAATTCTTAACTTTATAAAGACATTAAATATAATTATGTTTATTTAGAGATAAAATAAACTATAGAACTATTATATGGACTTCATTCTCAAAGTGCCCGTTCTGAAATAACAACGGCAAAGCACTGCAGTGCTCCTTGGAAAGTCAGCCTTGAGCTCCGAGCTCCAGGGCTAGAAGCAAATTCCACTTATGACAGGCCCTGCTGCTAACACTTCACTGCCTGCGGTGCTAAGAGATTAGCTGAAAGAATGGCCACAAGAAACAACGCGACCTTTACCAGTAAACCCTCTTAGCAACTGGGTTATCTGCTTCTTTAGACCACAGCCTCTCCAAGATAGGCTTATTAGTGTGTGTTAGGATAACACAGCCTTCACTCCATGGTAATGCTGAACATAACAAACACGTTACTTAAAGAGCAGGGAAATTATTAGGCTCATTTCCCTTTGGATTTGCATCTTAAGTTAACATGCTCGACACAATAATCACATTTCTTTGCAAGGTTTCACCAGCATCCTCTGTTCCTCCCAGGCCCCAGCTCCTTCCCTTCTTTCACAGCTATATGCTTGAACCAACAGTGCCTGGGCTTTGGCTCAGATCTCTGCATATGACAAACCAGCAGAACATACCTGCTACACATTATGTGTTTGCTAAAGAAGAGCAAGAGGAGAGCTAATTTGGATCTTTAAATAATCATCATTTTTCCAGACAGTTATTGGAATTTTGCTTTTTCAAGAACTCTTAACTTGTATGTGTTTAAAATTTGCAATATACTAGAAGAGCACAATTGTGCTGGGGTGGTCAATCAGGCAGACATCACTATCACATAGAATACCACGTTCCAGGGTAACTGAGGTAATGCAACAGCTCCAGATTTGCATTTATGTGCAGCAATTAAACGCTCCTTAGAACATCATTAGACTTTATACAAAATAACCTCCAAATATCTTACAACAGTTGAACATTCAACTACTGGTATTTACATTAAAGAAATCAGTAACTACTAGAATTCTGCTTCTATAAATAATGATAGTAGCCATGGACCCCAGTTGCATTTTATGGTCAGATTTAGAAAATGCACTTTATTATTTCTTAAGATAAAAACATTCTTTTTTCAGATATTAATGACCACAGATAGCCATGACATCCTAATTTCTGATTTGGAATCGTACATCTGAAAGGCCTTTGCAAATATCAGCCTAAAAGTTTTAGTGTAAAGGCTTTTTTGAGGATTGGCATGCATGTAGTGAGCTTGAAAGATTCTCCTATTATTCCTAGATACTTTTCATATTGGAAGCAAGGACTCCTTAGCCTGAAATATTTCTCAAGCAAGAATTACATTTAAACACTTGAATAAAAGACATGCCTTTTGACCTTTCCCCTCTCCTCCCCTCGCCTTCATCAAAAAAGAGCAGAAACACCACAAATTCATACTTGTAAAATCAGCGACTTAAAACAGCATACTGACTTGTAAAATCAGTTTAAGCGACTTGTTTTAAGTCGCTGATTTTACAACAGCATACTGACTTTAGAAAGAAAAACATACCTGAACTGTCCCAAATACTTCATCCTTAATATGGCCACCTCCAAATTCTTTCTTAAGTGTTGCCCGGGTTGCCGCATACAACATTTTTTGACGAACCTAGAATATCACAAGACAATCTTCATTTGTTTTTCCTTAGGTATACTCAAAAACTAGCATTTTTATATGTTAAGTCTATTAAAAAAACCTTTTTTCCCCATATTTTACAGCTGAAACTGTAATTTAAATTTGTACTTCTTAATATAGATTAAATTTCACAGAATGAGTTTTGGAACAAGGTAAAAACATATGCTATTCAATTCTTAAGGATACTAGGAGACATTTTACCATGCAATATCAACCAAGTAATTCAAATGTGCAGCTTTAATTATGAGTCAACCCTTTCGTCTCTTAATATGTCCTAAATGCTAGTGAAAGTTGTAGGAACCTGGGAATAACTTTACTTCCTGTCTTCCCAAACATGGTATTCCAGTTCTCCCAGAAATTTGTGACTCTCTCTGCTCTCTGACTACCTGCTGTGGAAGCAGCTCATGTTGTGGTCGGTCACAGATGCACGAGTGCCAACTGGCCAGCCTGAGAGCCACACGGAATAAACAGCTTGAGCTCCTGCTAGAATCCTTCCCCCTGCGATGGCACCAATTCAGATTTCTGACCTATATCTTGCCATGGATTTCATGAAACAACATGCACAGAAAAGTAGGAAAAAAAAATAGTAAAAGCCTGTTTTGCCTCCTTTAATCTACCTAAAAACTAATTGGATCAGCTGGAGTTCATCTAGAGCCACTCATACTGCTCCTTAACCAGCAAATGGGGTTGTTTCCCCAGTTTCCTTGGGGGTAAGGAGGTGGGAGTGCTCCATAAACATCCCCCAAATCGTTCACACCCAGCACCTGAAGCCAAAGACACTGCTGAAAAATCCCACGGCTGTGCAGTTTCCCATGACTGATGCTCACCGGGGAGTGATCGGGGGACCACGCGATGAAGATCCACTCGTATCCTTGAGCATTCTGAGAGTCTAACCTGTACAGAACATAGCAGGGCTGCTTGTCCTCCAGGAGGGGAAGAACAAAGGTGTCGTAATCCTTCTCCCACGATCCAGCCGGCTGCCTAGAGGATCCCACAACAAGCTGTTCTATAGACAACAACCAAAGTTACGCATTAGCAGCAATATCAGTAACACTGGTTATTAAAATTAGCAATTTCAATAAGAACTTATTACAGTAACTAGGCATTTAAGCACTGTAGACTAGCAACAAGACTAATTTGAAGTCACTTGTTTTCCATACTTATATCTGCAATAATGGAAGTCAAGAATAGTCAAAGATGGAAAACTCCTGCACAAGCCTGACCCAAATACAAAAAATAAATAAATAGATAAATAAACAAGAAGCAATGTACTGGTTGCCATCAAGTTCTTTGATCTGCAGGGATAAGACTGATGTTAGTGTTTTAGCACAAGACACACAGACTGAAAAACTACACTGTGACAATTGGTTTATTTTTATATCAGAGTATTTAGGTGGATGCAAGATGAGAGTAAGCTTTTGATCTTTAGAATTATTCCTGCTCTTGCTACAACGTAACAGTGTTTGCATTTATTGTAAGGAGTCAGTAAACCAGATACATAGTGAAAAGAATTTGGAATGAATATGCTTGCACTGAACACTTTAACTTGACAATTTAAGCAGATAAAACCCTTTTTAATACAGCTTCAAAACTACAGACTCTTTAAATGAAGTAATTTATTATGTATAATTGGCTTAATTCCACACAGAATACTTTCAATTAGATTTAATTATGTGTAAGTTGAAACAAGATTTCCCTTCCTTCCTTACAAACCACATGGTAGCTTCCAGAACAAAATATTACCATAGTATTTTTCAAAATATTTATCAACCTATTAACCAAAATATTTATAAGCCACTAAATACTAGTCCCCCTGCCCAAAAGAGAAACATTTTGTTTAAATTAGATTCCAGTGGGTTAGGGACCATGATAATATTTAGTCTATAGACTAAATTTTCTGTAAGACCAAGAGCTAAGCTCTAGCCTTCCAGACAAGAGCACAAGACAGTACAGATGCCCTTATACAGTGAATCTTTCCAAACAAGCCGCTCTTCCACATTAATTTTCCAAGACACTGAACATAAGCAGTTCAGACGGAGAATGTTTGGCACCTCTCTGCAGCAGCTTCTAAGTAGCTGCAATACCAGACATAGGAGCCTTATGAGTATTCAAATGTACTTGCCAATTCTTAAACTCCAGATGGCTTTGAACTCGCTTGGATTTAGACAGAAAAATGCAATTAGAGGAATAACACTGCCCAGCAGCAAACCTGCTGTCTTAGTAAAACTAAAACTGAGTCCTGCTAATTTGAGTTTTCTATTGAAAAATAAGAGTTGCTGCAGACAGATGAGGCAACCGTCCCTCTTCTACCATTTTTGAGTGCTACACTTTTCTTTATGAACTTTGGAAAGAAATACTATGAGACTGAATTCTGCTTCTACTTATAGGTAAAATATAGACACATAATGGAAAGAAAAGCTTTTGATATAAATGGAAGACACTTTCCATCTTTAGCCTTCATTCTATATTGAAAAAGTAGTGCATATTCAAAAGCACAGCTTTTTATCTTGCCTAATGAAATCAAATTCAGCGCCATGGCAGCATTTGCTAACCTGTGCTGAAGAAACGCTACCACAGGGAAACAAATGAACCAAATTTGATGAAACAAATACAGCCTCTAAAGCTATTATTGCTGATTCCTTCAGAAAAGCAATATAAAACCAGCGTAGGACTTCCTAACAAAAGCAAATTCAAAGATGATAACAGGATGCTTATCTGAGGATAAATGTACATGTGCGTATGTATATATACACACATGCATGTTCCCAACCAACAGCTACTTTAATGTACTATAAATGACTGAAGAACAAAAAAGTGAGGTCAATATCTGATACATTTTAAAGATGGACAAAGCAATGCTGTGTTTTATGCACTTAAACGGTAATTTCTAAGTACATTCCCAAAAGAAATAAGTAGGAATACTGCCCTGCATTATACTGAAAATTACAGTGTCACCAAAAATTCAATCCTACCTTCAGTATACAAAGATCTCAGTAATGCTATTTTTTGCAATTTTTATAAAAAACAACTATACACATAGGTTACTAAACAACAAGGAAATACCTAAAAGGATCTGGAGAAAAAAAAATGACTAACCATTTTCAATGACTATTTTTAAAAGTCTGTATTGTCCATTTCTGGCTCCAACAAAGGTGTCCTTAAGGTTTCCACTAGCTGGAAAAAAAAAGAGAAAATAAAAATAACTGAATGAAAACTTTCAATGTACAATGATATTTTACCTTTCTCAATTTTTCCCTGTCCTAGGGAAATAAAAAGCTGGACTTCTACAACAAAGTTGGACTGGAAAAAGATAGCAAACTCATTTCCCGCTGTGTTCCTCCTGTCCCAATCACTGGGATACAGCAAAAAGGTGATGACAACATTACAAATAAAGGAGAAAAAAAAAAAGGGGGGGGGGATAAAACAGCCCAGCTTTCTTACATACTGTAGAATTTTCATTAGAGTGAAAAGATGGCTTGTCACATAGTAAGTCTTTTAGTAACACAGTAAAATAGGCACATTTTTCAATTGAAATTACTAGTCTCTCCTAAGGACACTGCTCTGAAGAGTAAAGGCTGATATAAAATCTTCTTGTATAGCTCTTAATAAGGCCAAAGCACAACTAAGCAAACATGATAAATTTATAATGAATTTGCAAAGTAGCTAAAAATTTCAGTTTATAAACTGCACGTTGACAACATGATACAAACATGACATTTCACTAAGCTCGAATATGAAGATCATTCTCATCTCAGGTGCTCTTCTGAATATTCTGAGTGCAAGTCTGCTTAATTGTACCCTAGGCAGGGGTGGGTGCAGCATTTATTGAAGAAATTTATTGCGAGCCACTCTTCTAAGTAATCCCACAACAAAGAGCCCTGCAGCAGCAGGACAAACATCTGCTATAAAAGCAGGAACCCAAGGAAGAGGATTATTTGCAGCCGCATCGAGGCCAAACAACAGGCGGTGTGGCCGCAGCCGGCGATGCTGCTCTCCATGTTCAAAACATTTCATATTTGTGTATCAAGGTGATGCACAGATGGTTCAGGACCTCCAAAATGTGGTCAAGAAGAGCATTATACAAGATTAAGCTCCGTGGGCTACCAGTCCCATGCCAGCTCTACCTTAGGTAGCATTTCCCCATTAAGGAGTGCTCAGCCCCAGTGTCATTTACTGCCAGCTTTTCTAATTGTCTGCTTCCATGGGTGCAAAATCCCATTCAGCACCCTAACATTATGCTATTTTCCAGACCGTATGATCTCTAGGACATTTTTTGTCCTCTCCTCATCTATTACCTTTTGCTCTTCATCCTAGTAGTAACATCAAAGCTGCACACTACAACAAGAGCAAAAACACCGGGGTGGCTACTGCAGCAACACCAGAACCGTGGCAGCTCCTGAAGTAACAGCTGAAGACAAAACACCAGGGTTTGAGAAACTCTCTTACTAGTAAGTGATCTGTTTTTTTACCTGGGTTTTAAGAGTCAGAATTGAAGACTACTCTGCTTAGACTTTCTGATGGTAGAGCACATGCAATTACAATTCTATTATCTCAGCATGCAGCTTGCAGTTGAATTTGGATTTCTTTTTCAAAGCAATCCTGATGCTAAACATGCCCATTCTGCCTGAGGGCCGCTGAGCTCCAGGAGCGGAAAGGTTTCATTAGGTGCTTGGGAAGAGCTGCACGTGCCCTGCCCAGGAACGGGCCGGACCTGCTGCCTCAGCACTCCCCTTGACAGCACTTTAAAAAATGTGGAGCCCACAAAACTTGCCGGCAGACAAGCTGAGACGCTCTCCTCAACAAGTCCTGGGGAGAGGGGAGGGGATGCTGAGGTGCAAAGGGGCTCCCCACTTAGCGCGCCAAGAATCCACCCGCACCCTCTGCGGCTCTGCTCGGACAACGGGAAGATTTTCAGGGATGAGAAGGAAAACTGGCATAGCTCTGGTTCCTGCAGTAAGCGACAGGGCGATTCTTTGCTTCCCCTTCCAACACCACTAAGGAGAAGAAAAGGGAGGGAAGATCCACCACAACATTCCCCCCAAGGGGGGATAAAGGCTATTTCAGATGCACCTCAGATCTAAGAGGGGACAAGAAACTTGAGAGAAACAAGAGCAGAAAATGACACAGGAGGAGGAGAAGGAGGAGAAAGCGTGCTCAGCAAACAGCAAATGTGCAAGGACGGGCTCGGAGGTGCAGTTAAGACACGGGTACAAAAGTCACTTTGAGCAATAAACGTGGGAGCGCGGGGAAAGGACGCTGCTCACCCACGGAACACGCAGCCCGCAGAAACCCGGCACAAACTGCCCCCTAATCCCGCACCGTAATCCGTGTTGACTAATTCTGTGATTTAAGGGACCTGGCAGCACTGCGAAGCAACGCGGCCTCCTCCACCGGCACTTCCCGTTCTCCACGGCCTGGCAGCATGGAAAACAGGCTCCCGGACACTTGTGCCTCGGCCGCTTGCAGGCGCTCCCGTCCCCGGGCCAGCGGCTTTTCCCAGCGCTTCCCCCCACAAGGAGCCGGCAGCAGGGCCGGACTCTCTTAGCGCAGCTTCAAAGCGGCTGCGGGGCCACCGGGAAGCCTCCAGCTCTTCCAGCCCGCCGTGGCTGCAGATCCCAGGCAGCGCTCCGGCCCCGGGAGGGAGAAGCGCAGCCCGGAGCGCTCCGGGAAGCCAGCAGAGCCCAGAGGAGCCGCTGCCGCGGGGCACGTCCCTCCCTGCCCGCTCGCCGCGGCGGTACCTTGGATGCCGGTCTGGTGCGACATGGCGCAAGCCGCGCGCTGCGCCGACACCCGGTTCGGCTCGGCTCGGCTCGGCCCGGCCCGGCCTGGCTCGGCTCGGCTCGGCCCGGCGGGCGGAGCGCGCACGTGATGCGCCCGCGTCATTCGCGCGCTCCGCCCGCCGGGCCGAGCCGAGCCGGGTCGAGCCGTGCCGGGCTGCGCTCGTTTTGCGTGGCCCCTGCGCTACAAACGCCCTTAGCCAGCGGTTTTCACCTCAGGCCCAGGCTGAGAAGCACCATCTGCCGAAAGACGGATTCTCTTTCTTCATTTTTCTCTCCCCAAAACGGCTTTGATGTTCTGCATGGCATCTGGTGTCTTTAATCTGCGTTGTGATCCAGGCGGGAGCCCCCAGGTCCCACGTTCAGCATTTGTAGTAGGGCTGTGGGCACCTCATGCCCTCATGTTGGTGCTTTTGGGTTGTGAGGAGTTAGCAATGGGTCAATGCTCAGCATTGGAACAACAACAACAACATAAAGCACTAACAGGGCATACTAAGTATCTTAACTAAGCTCAGATGTTCCCAAAGTCAACTGATTGTGTTGCTAAAATGTAGGTGTCTGTGCTTTCTCACATCCCCTGTTGGATGAGCCCAGCCGAGGAGGTCAGTGCCCCGTTTGGGGAATGTACCCTAGTGCTGTAGTTGAGTGCAGTGCGTGGGCTCTCCTGTACTGTGTGAGACCAGTGGGTGAGTCACTGTGGAGATCTGCCTGGTGGAGCTGGAGATGGCTGTGGATCACAGTGGCTGGGGCTGGGCACAAGCTGCAGTTACCCTTCTTCTAGCAAGGGGCTGTAAGAGGGAGGGAAAAGGCTTCAAAGGCATGAAAACAAGCGATGGGAGGCAGCAGGGACCTCACAGAGAACAGTGAGGTCCACACCTATTCCTCCCAGAACAGAAAGGTGATTAAAAGCTAAAGCATCTCTTGGACAAGAGCTTTACCAAGAGGAAGAAGAGTATTGGAGTTCCAGTCAGAGTGGCAAGCAAGATGTGACACTATCATCTATCGCAAATATTTTAAGTCATTGGTCCTACATTCCTCCCATGTGTTGGCATTCGTGTTTGTGAAGGACAGACTTGGCTGAAAGGACCTTGAGGAAAAAAAGTTTTCAGACAGATCACATCCTAGATCCAGTTGCTCATGTGTCCCAGGACCACAAGTGTGGGCATAGCGTGGCAAGGAGGGGCTCTGTTTTCAAAGGTTGCCCACGCTTACACCTGAAATATTGGGCCAATACGAGACTACAGTATCTGTCACCGGATTGAGAGCACCTTGACTACCTGAGGTGCCACCACATCAGTCCAACCGATCTGCCACAGGAGAACCATGTAGAAAGTGGGAGTGGATGTAAAATAAAATAAAATACAGAAGTAGTGTATCTGCTTAGTAAGAGATTTTTAAAAAATAAAGCTTGTATATACTGGCATTTCATAAGACTTTTGATCAAAAGACGAACAAAGTATGAGATACTTGTTTCAAATCTGAATATCAAAAGTATTTTCCTATATTACAGTGTTTCCTGTTTGGTGAAGAAGAAATATGTTCCAGAAAAAACAAGCAAATCTGAACAAGGATTTTATATTTATATAAGAAGTTTATGCTAAGCTTCTTAATTTTAGTGTGCTTCAGTCTTATTAAAATGTTTTTGATAGTTTGCTATCCAAATCATAAGACATTATGATGAGTCTTTGGATAAGAATAGGGAGATTTATTTATTTGCATATGCATAAGCATTAACATCATTTCTGCCTTATATTTTCTTATCCAGAATTTGAGTTCTCTTCTCTTCTCTTCTCTTCTCTTCTCTTCTCTTCTCTTCTCTTCTCTTCTCTTCTCTTCTCTTCTCTTCTCTTCTCTTCTCTTCTCTTCTCNTTCTCTTCTCTTCTCTTCTCTTCTCTTCTCTTCTCTTCTCTTCTCTTCTCTTCTCTTCTCTTCTCTTCTCTTCTCTTCTCTTCTCTTCTCTTCTCTATGTGATGGTCAAATTGTTTCATGTCCTCAGTAGTTTTTAAATTATTACATTCTTCAGATGTGATTCATTCTTTTATAGCTCTACCCTAACAGTAGTGGCTACCTAATGTGAAAAGTGTTTTGCAATTCAGGCACTGTTTGAGCCAGGCACTCTTCAGATGTTCTTGTTCTGCCTCCATCATGTGTTACCTGAATGAATTCCGAAAGTGCATTAAACTGTATGACTAGCATTTACATGGTTCTTGAATTTGCCTTTTCTCTCCAAAGGGAAAAAAATATTTTAATTATTTAAAATGTTTGTTTTGTAAATTATTAATGATAAGGTCAAAAATATTTCCCTTATGCTTAGACTCCTAAAATAACTTTTGAGAATCATCTTAGTTGATGCTCAAAATGATTCTCAAGTCAAAGAAAGCCAGACAAAAATTTATGAAGACCTGAGCAGGTCTATAAGGTCTTTGGACTAAGTTTATAAACCACGGGCTCATTTTTTAAGCTCTTGTGGACTGCTTGTACAGAGTGCATTCTTCCTAGACCATGAGACATTGAACATAAATAGCGAGATTTTAGATTTTACCGGATTCCAGAAGAAAACTGCATAGAAGACAGAATCAGGACAAGATCTGCCCAGGTGGGGTTAGCTGCTAAAGAGATGTGCTTTTTTGTTCTACATTGCTTTCTTAATGCCTACCTTTTTACAGCAAGATGTATTATATTGCCTTGTGGGCAATGAGCCTCAAAGAGTAGCCTAGAGAGAGACGGTAAAAAAGCAAGAATAACTGAAGTCATATTGTTGTCCTCCAGAACAGGAATGAGGTCTTCTCACCACCAGGAAACAGGAGAAGCTCCACTTCTCACTTAAGTAACACTTGTATTAAAAATGAACATTGTGTATGAAAAGAAAATACAAAGCAAACATTAACTGCTGTTTGTGTTTATGTAAAATCTTCTTGTGGTTCTCAGTCTACCAAAAAAAAAAAAAAAAAAAAAAAAAAAAAAGCTTCACTATGCACTTATTTTTGAAAAGAGTGGGTACTTTCAATGACTTCCAGCAGCATCTCATGTTTTTGTACTGGTTAGGGATGTTATACATTCCTCTCCATTGGATTTGGTAGCTATTTCTTGATGAGAGAGAAGATGTTCTTGGGACTGTTTCAGTCCCATTTGGATGGTTATACCAATAACCAAGCCCTTGTGGCAGGACCTCTTTCAGAAAGCTGACTTTTTTGGCAAACAGTCACCATCTGCAATGCTGCCTAGATTTAGAACAGACCTGATCTGCCAAGAACCGCAATTACCTCCTGTATGAAGGCGGTCATCTGGCTGGGAATCATTTTGGAGAACAGAACAGAACTTGAGGTCTGCACAATCTGATGAGTTGGTTTAGTTTTGAGTATTTTGGAAAGTAGTTTTTTTTTCCTGAGATTTCTTTACTTAAATGCCATTCTCTGCTGTAGGTACGTTGTTATGCTGTTGTTTTTAATAAATAAATAAAAACAGGGCAGATATTGTAATTAGGTGAAAATGGATAGGATAAAAATTTGAAGTTATATTTTTGTTTCTCCTCGTATTACGTAGAGGAAATCATAATCCTACCAAAACCATTAAAACTTCTGTCATTGCATTCTGTGCTAGAGTCGCAGTACGTGAACTGCTTTTAATGGTAGACCTCTTTGCTGCACATGATCTAAGCCGATCCACTGGTTCAGTGCTAGAGCAGATCCAGTCGTTTTCCACCTGAACTCAGCCACATTCTTTTATATATGTTTCCATTTCTTTTTAGCATTTGCTGAATTGAGACGACTGGTGGAAGAACTTGTGCAATACTGAGCTCCAGCACTAACACGGTGATGACGATGTGCTATTCCTTATCCTGCTGACCATCAGTACAGACGTGCTGATCCCTTGCTTGATAAGCTACAGTTAGTACAAACTAATGGCAGATGAAGTAAAAAGCGACTCTGTCCAAGGCATTGTTCATACTGCTGAAGTCATCAAGTGATTAACAGACTTCCTCTCTTAATTAGAATTGCTAAGTCCCTGTGCCCTGCTCACACTGTTCACCTTGTGGCCTAGGAGGACCAGTATTTCAAAATTTAGCCTTTTGTATTTTATTTTTTCTGACATTTTGCCCCTCTCCCGAGATGCAACATCCCCATTAATTTCTCCATGCTTTGTGTAGCTGTGAACATAGTAGATCAAATCTCCGTTTCCCTCTTGCTGTTTTTCTTTGTTGTTTTAAGCCCTTATCCAATTTTCAAAGAAATGAAAAAAAAAAAAAAAGAGTTCAAACTACTGCTATGTCAATTTACCTTTTGGCACAGGCATTGTGAAGACTGGGATTCTGATTCTTGGGGTCCCACAGGTTGGGGGTATCAACCAGAGGGGAGATCAATCCTCTGAAAGGGAGTCACTCATGACAAGTAATACCCCATAAATAATGGAAGTAATCCTCAAAGAAAGGAGTAAGAAAACATCCTTTAAGTGTAGGTTTTATCCCCCTAAATTCTCACTCCATGATGTCAATTAGGGATTTTATTTCTGATTGGGTAAAGCATTGTGAGACAGGCAGAATAAAACGCAATCACAGATCCCTATCCTTCAGTGCTCAGTGTTTAAAAAGGCAGAAATATATAGGGAGGACAAAGACTGGTAATAAACTTGGACCTGAACAGTTCACTTCTGGCATCTAAGACTCTGCACTAACAGTGCTCAGCTCCTTCCATTCGGTATCTAAATGTACACACACACATGGAAAATCACGTTTGCTCTATCTCAGCAAGGCTGAAGGTCTTCAGTGCTTTGCATTTGTTCCAAAATATCTTGCAGTGCACTCACTGGTATTTTTACATTGAAAGGAAATTCAATAAACAAAGAGCATTTTAACTGCTCTGCATATCCTTGTGCTGTAGACACTCAGAGTGCCTGTCCATTTTGCATGGATTCCCACTTGCTGAATAAATTATTACACTTCTCATTGTAAATGTTGTGCGGGACTTTGTTTTTCCCAGTGCATTAGTGCAGGTTAAAAATAGCAGGCCCTTGTCACTGGATATTCTCTGGCCATGTA